TGTGAGAAATACATAAAATGTAGTTTGGGAACTGCAGTCTTCCTCTATAAAACAAAACACTGTACTCTTGTGATAAGCTATTGTTTATTTCCAGGTACACTAAATAGCCCCTATTTTTAAGGTGGCTTCCCCCCACTGTGATGCATTCCTTGTTCTACTGAAAGGTTGAATGAGAAATGAAACAAAAATCATCAGTTAAGATAAGAATTAGAGGATAATCTGCAGGCTTCGCTATGACCCAAGATCAACAGATCCGTCAAGATCATAAGAAATTATCAATTATTTAGAAATGACTTGGTAATGATGCCAAAGCTCTGTGATTCAGCTCATTTATCTAGGAATAGGTTTCTTAGAAACTTAACTTCTTTGAAAGCTAATAGAACACCTCCCTAGGAGAATGGAAAGGAAATCAAGGGTTGATTATACTCACAACAGGTTTATTTGGTGAAGGTATCACATGCTGTGAACAAGATACGATAGGTGCTAACTATTGTAATATAAGGAAAATAGAATTAACACATTTTAACTGCTACCTGCTGCTGAGACAGAAGATGTAGATTTGTCCCAAGGAATCTGCCACCTAAACAGAGAATTCATAATTCAGGTATTAATAACAGAAATGACAAAGACCAAAATAACTCTCTCTTTCAAAGCAATGGGTCAAGCCAGCTTGCAGTCTCTTTTGGAACTTAGATAATGAAATTCAGTTTTGGAAACACTGAGGCTTGGCATTTCTATAATGTTTTACAATATACAAAGTGCTTAACATACATTAGCTGATTAATCCTTACAACAATTCTATGAGGTAGGTTATGCAGATATTGTATTCCCCATTTACGAGATGAGGAAACTGAGGCAGAGAAACTAAAGGTCTTGATTAAGGTTATACATCTGTTTTGTGGCATAGTCAATATGTGAACCCAGATCTTTCCACTCCAAATTCAATTTTCTTTCTCCTATACCAACCCTGCCTTGACTAGTTAAGCACTTCTTAGGAACAAGTCATTATGCTAAATCCTGGGGATATAAAGATAGATAGGACACAGCTCCTGTTTTCAAGGAGTTAATAATCTAATTGGGGAGGCTGGTAAGAAAGAGTATTGAATACTAACCCCAATGACTCAGACTCAGACTGAAGCCCACTTGGTCATTGTAATACATAGCATCCTATCATCTACAGAATGCAAATTTATTGAACATTTTAATTTTATCATCTGTCCATCTTATATATACCTCCACACTTGGTTATGGCAAGTCTTAGAACATGCCATATATATGGAATATAAAACTATAAACCCCAGGACAGAAAAGCATTACCTGACTTATTCTATATGTAATTTGATACCATAAACTGGTGCTTTAAAGAGTTTCATATTACAATAGACTTAAAGGACCAAAAGCCAATCCCTTCAATCTTACTCAATTTCATATGCATAAAGGGCACATTCCCTATAACTAGTCCTTAAACTGGAGTAGGAAACATGGGATTGGACAGTAAGCCTGAATAATATCCCATTTCTTCTCAGAAGGGTAACCCCTCTAACATGCTTTTTAGACAAATAATCCATCCACCTTCCTTTCTTCTCTCATTTCAAGCCTTGCTTATGACCCAGGTTCCTCATAGGGAGACCACCTGAAAGACAGAAAATACTGAAGAAAATATGACTTCTTTTCCTCTTAAACTTTATAGGCCTAGGACAAAACTAAATAATTCCAACATCTTCATCAGCAGTAAAGGAAGAGATAAGCAGAGCTAAAAGATGCACAAAAATACTGCCCATCAGGATGAGAAATTCCCTCCTGCTTGTTTACCTACTACTCCCCAAGGGAGATGAGGAAAATAGGAGTGACAAGTACCTGCAAAAAAACTCAGAAAAACCATTTTCAAGGTCTTCCAACTTAATGAATAGCTTGTTGCTGATTATTTTTTTAGCCTCTGAAAACAAACCTTCTATCTCTGAAATGAAAGAAATGCAGAGGGTCTTCTTCTGCTGGGGTAATGGGGCTGAGAGAGGAGAAACTATAAGACAGAAAGAAGATATAGGACGTGATCCTTTTTCTTAACAATGAAGGGGGCTACACTTCCCCATTACTTTTTCCCACTGTTGGTGACCTTGATAGGAGCAAGAAAAAGCTAGGTAAAGGGAATGCTGACTTCCCAGTGAATAACACTGTAAAAGAGAAACAAGGGTTACTGAAAGAATAAGGATGGAATGGTAGGTTTCATTCATTTGCCAATCATTTATTAAACAACACAGTGAAAAGTACTGTGCTAAGTTCTGGTAGAAATGCAAAACTAAATAAGATGTTGCTCCTGCCTTCATGGAGTTCATAATCTAAAAGGAATTCATCCCGGGGCTTCTTCATCCTTCCTTAGGAGATAAAAGAGCTGCCTTAGAGATGAGACACAAATTAGCCTTGGAAATAAACACATATGCTTGTCCTTTTGTCTATAAAAGTGTTACTCCTGATCCACCATCAGTATGATATGTTTTGCTACAATAAGGAAGCCAGGATAGCTGAGCTGTGAGAATAATAAACAGAAGTTTCAGGCAATAACCCAAGAATCAGCAGCTTCTCTCCTACTCCCAGGCAGACTGCAGCCATTAGATAAAAACAGAGAAGCATAACTTTTAGGCTCATTTTCATAGAGCTGGCCCATTCTACTGCTGCTGCTGTAAAGCCGATCCTTTTGGAAAGAGAAAGAAGTGGTTGGCCAAAGGCAGAACTGAACAGCAAAAGGAAACACTGCTCCTGGGTGACTCTGCCTGTGAGTGTCTGTGTTCCACAAGTTGATGTGTGTCCCTGGGGATCTCTTGTATACCAAGGTGGGCTGAGCACTACTTGAGGTCTTGGGCACAGAGACGACCATGTAGAAGGTTTGGCGGTGTGTTATGAGGTCAACAATGGCCTCCTTCTTGATAACACCTTCTGAGCTTTTCCCTATTTCCTCAGGCATGTCAGAAGTAAAAAGACCCTTAACCATCCAAGATCAAGCAGCCTTGGTCACAAGTACTTTGAGTAATTTATTCTAGTAGAGGAGACAGACTTTCAATGAACTATCCACACTTAACCTCTAATCCTTGCTGTGCATGCAACTACAAACCTGTGAGATGGGTTACCAAGGTTCCAGATGGAATCTATGGTCAGGGAACTGATTTTCTCTTTGAAATGAATAGACTCCCAAGGATCAAACCCCTGATGACGCCCTCATTTATACAAGTCTCTAATAAACTCTGTCAACAGAGGAACGGTAATGACTTATTCCAGACAAAGTAAGGAGGAGGGAAAGAAATTGCTGATGTTTTTCATTTTCTTACCTGTAGGAGGCCAGTAAAACATTTGGAACGGGATGATATATTTTGGGGACTTGTATCTAAAAGGCAGATTTAAATGCCATTTTCACTGTGACACGAAATAATGTTGCTGTCATCCAGTGGCTTCTCATCTGCTAACCATGCATTTGAATTTCCCCAATTCCTCCAAACCAGAGCATCCACAACCCAGGAGAATTAGCAAGCTGCTAACAGTCCTCCTGCTTTCCTGTTGGCTACTCAGGAGTTGAGAAACTCACAGAATGAGGACTGGCCAAATGGAACGTTTGAGAGGGAGAAACGACGTAGGACTCTGCCACTGAATTCAGCTGCCCCCTTCACAGCTTCCTCCCAGAATCTAGTTATAAAGACCAGCCTGAGATCCTCCTTTACTCCCACAGGGAGATAGTGGAAGGGAGACTTTTCTACTTCCATACCAGAGTAATCTGAGGGTTAATTCCAAATCAATTCAATAAGCATATACTTACTTTCCCTAGAACACGATGTATAGTTTTACCCCAATTAAATTCTAATTGCAAATTTGACGATTAGACCTTAACATAAAGGAGAACTATGTCCACATGGGCTGTTTTGGGAATATTTAGAAATATTTTCATAAGACTGTCCATTAAACATGGAGAGCATTAGGCGAGGGAGGGAGGGAAACAGAGAGAGACAGATTTGGAGAGAGGAAGGAAAGAAGGAAGGAAGGAAGGAAGGAAGGAAGACAAAGACACTACTACATTTTACTATTGATACATCATAGACTACTCCATGGATATTAGATTTCACTGGTATAGGAAACCCTCCACCAATGCAAATCTGCACCCACTCCACAACTTACAGTCTTATAAAGTTGCCTAGGGCACTGAGAGATTAAGCGATTTGCCTAGGATAACACAGTATGTAAATGATGCATGACTTGGACCCAGGCTTTCCTTTCTCAGAGGCTGACTCACTAACTGCCTAGCCAATAAAAATTCTCCACTGAAGGCCTTCTTTGGTATCTGCTCCTGGCATGGAGGTGAGGCTGGGCTCTCAAGACTATGCCAGGTAGCACACATATTGGCAAGTCCAACCAAACTGGAAAATATTCTAGTATAGGTCTGGGGCTGAACCGGCTATCTATGGCTTTAGGCCCAGCATAAAACTCAGTTCAGAGAAGCTCATAGCAAGAAGGCCACAGAAAGATAAACACTTACAGCCACAGCAACTCATAGATCATGAAATAAGCATGCAGGCGTAGGAGGGAGTCTTGGGGTATGACCAGGGCCAATGAAATTGCAGTTTCTTGAAGCAATTAAATATCAATAATAATAAAATATCTTGCATTTGTATAGTGCCTTTTTTATGTTTCCTCTTTTTTTTGTTACAAAACAAAAACAAAGTTTTGATAACTATACTCTCCTAAGAAGTACATAAGGTCTGACACCCTCACTTTACAGACAAGGAAACTGAGACCCAGGGATGAGGGTCCAAAACAGTTAGTCAATCACAACCCTTAATCAGTGACCACAATGCCTAGAACCCAGGTATTCAGACTTCTACCAGACCACATTGTCTCTGACAGTTTTTTCTGCTTATATACTGTCTGCTAAACAGAACAACCATGCATGCCAGAGGGATACAGCCAAAACTTGCACTGCCCTGTGCTCCAGGAACCAGGGCTACCCCCTTTCCCCTTACCTCAGCCAGGCGGGAATGCTTGTGGACATTTTCACCCTTCTGCACGCTGGGCGCCAACTGCTGCAGGACCCCCCTGCTGCTTGTCAGCGCTCTAGTTAGCCGGGCAAATTTCCCCCAACCTAAAGGAAACAAGAGAAGAGAGATACGTTTTGTTACATGCAGTAAAAATACAGATAACCAGCCTTATCATGGCTATTTCTAGAAATGAATGCCCTTCTTCCATCCTCATCTATTAATTTCCTACTTGCTCATGTATTAAGTTCCCATCATTTGCATAGCATTTCCCATAATTTACACTCACAGTTCAGAAAGACTTAAGAAACATCACTATTTTTTGCTGCATCATACTTAATTAGATACGATGCTTCATTTTCTGTAAGTGGTACAATGGTTAGAGTGGTGGACTTGGACTCAGGAAGAACTGAGTTCAAATCTTGCCACAGACATGTACTAGCTGACCCTGGGCAAGTCCCTTAATCTCTCTTGGCCTCAATTTCCTCATCTATAAAATGGGAATAATGATAGCACCTGCCTCCCAGGGTGGTTGTAAGGCTCATGTGACATAACATGTAAAGCACTTTACAAACCTTAAAGTACATGCTTTAGGGGACACCTTCATACCTACCATATCATTATTCCATTATTAGGTTAGATATTTCCATTTCACAGATGGGGAAACTGAAACACACACAGCTGATAGCATGTAAGAGATTTTCACTAAGGACACAGAACAAGTAACAGAGTCAGAGGCAATACTAAATTGACTCTCAGAGAAGAATTTCCTCCCAATGCTGAGTCCAGCAGGATAGTTGACTCATTATATGTCTCAGGCTGGTCCAAGCCTAGACTGTCTGATAAGGTTCCCCCAGGTGTTCTTTGTAGTTGGCAGTAGTTCTGGAGAGAAAATATTGATCCCTTAACCTCCTGGTCCTGAGGCTCTTGGGGTGACAAAGATGGTTCCACAGTTTGAACTAGACCCAATGGAAATGGAGCCATCAAATGGCTATACTACTTACTCTGCTCTACTCTGTTGATTACCACCAGTTTCCTGAGAAAGCAAGAAATATTGGTCCACCTGCCTCTGGAATCTCTCTGGAAAAACTGAGAATCGGAATTTAAATGACCTGACCAATATCTCATGGAGGGGCTATTTTGCTTGGCCCCAAAAGGCAGAACTAGAAACAGTGGTAGAAGTTACAGAGAGGCAATTAACAATTAGAGTTGTCTGAAAATAGAAATAGGGCTGCCTTAGGAAGTAGAATTTTCACCATCACTGGAGGTCTCTGAGCAGAAGTAGGATGACCACACACTAGGGATGATACCGAAATGGTTTCTGCTCAGTTACAAGTTGGACTAAATGACCTCTCAGGTCTCTCCCAACTCTGAGAGCCTATGATTCAGTAAGTGCCAGAGCTAGGACCAGAAAGCAGACCTCTTGATTCTCAGCTCTATCTGAGATCATTTCTTCCCTCCAAAGAGGCTGAAAATACAATGGGTACACAATAAGTGTTTATGAGTATTCATTTATTTATGAGTATGAGATTCTATGAGTATGGTGGAAGGAGGCAGGTATTACATAATACAAATTCCCCAAATGGCCCACAAATTATAATAGATTTACATAATCCTAAAAGCCTGGGTTCCTGAGAGATCACTCAGGCCAATCCTCAACTCCTAATAAGGACTCACCCAATGGTTGATATTGGAATCAAGCAGAAGAGTGACCTTCAGTATTGTGATCTCAGGTGTTTGGGGTTTGGGGGTGTTTTGTGTCTTGATTTTTTGTAAACACAGCAAGAAGAGAAAATCAGCTCTTTGGGGGTCTTTTTATTCCAATCTTTATATGTTTTAATGAAAAGGTTAGAGGAGCTCTCTGAGCTTCCTGACTCCATTAAGCAGAGGAATGATACTGCTTAGGGTCTGCTTGAAAAGAACCACATGAAGTTCCAGCTATGAGATGACTATTAAAGTCTATGGGAGAGAAGCAGGAAAGTCCCTATATGAGGCTCTCCAGGTCTCCTCTTGAATGAACCCATGGTCCATTTGTGGAAGTGCTTGATGCAATTTGTCTTCAGGGGTGGAACAGAATCTATTAAAGGAAGTTGATTTTTAGGCTCCTCCTGGCCTTCAGCCATGCTGCTTTTCAGTTCTAGAAGATAAAGCTGAAATTGGTCTTTAAAAAAATATATCCTAAGGGATGTGAAAATAAATCTGTGTGTGTATGTGAACACAAGCGGGATCACACATGTTCCCATTTATATCAAAACCAGAAATACTTATAGTCAAAGTGAGTAATTGCCTAGGGCATAACAGGGGATAGCCCTTTTATTGATGTACCTTTTAAAAATGGAAAATTCTACTCTCTGGCCTCTCTGGACCCTTAATACTAGTGTTTTCCTTCAGCTAATTAGCACCAATTTTTCTTGTATTTATCTTGTATACATACTGCCTGGCATATAGTAGGTATTCAATAAATGTTTATTTACTGATTGATTAAGGTCCATTCTTGTCTGAAATCTACAATCCTGTGATGAATATGCTCACCATCTCAAAGCGTCAGCTCTCCCAGAATCCAACTCTGTCCTATGAGTGTTGAATAAGGCAAAAACAAAAAGGAAGGGAGGGTAGAGCACATGAAAATATGAAGTCATTGGACATAAATATAGAAATAAATAGAACCTATGAAGTCATCTAACCTAAGCCATCTCATTTTATAGATAAGAAAATTGAGGCCAAGAGAAGTTAAATAATAAATAACACCATACAGGTAGTAACCCTCCTCAGTATTGGAGAATAGTATCAGAAAAATGAAGGAAGTTTCTTTGTGAAGTACTTCAAGAAAACAAAAAACTACAATTTTTGAAGTTGTACAAAAGGATAAAGAAATTGCTAACCTAAAAGAAAAAAATATAGGAGCTGGCAGAAATATCAGAATATGTGCAGTACATGACAGATACAATAGAAAACTAATTGAGCAATGTCTTAAAGACCTGACTGAAACACTGAACAGGCTAGCCTTTGAGGATTCTGACTCCAGAGTGGAAGAAGTAGGCAGAGATTCTGAAGAAAAAGACACCCAGAATGAAACATGAAAAAATAAGTGTCTCTTTACAGTACTTAAAACGTATATAAAAATAGTTAATGATTGACCATTGAAAAATAAAACTACTGAAGTTTATCTCTGCTTTAGATGTATTACTCTAAATCCAGTGCTCTTTCCACTATATCATGTTAACCAATAAACATCTTCTGATCACCATGCCAAGTACCAAGCATGTCCCAATTCTTCTTAGTTAAACCTATTACATGGTCAACATTGTGCTTCAATATATATTCTCTTTGAATTAATTTCCTCCAACTTAGAGTTATACTTGTTGCTTCCTCAGATGAAATGTAAGGTTCTTGAGAGTAGGATTGTTTCATTCTTTGTATTTGTATATTCAGTACCTAACACAATTCCAAGAACATGGTAGGCACTTGATAAATGCTTGTTAATTGATTGGTTAATGCACTTCAATGACTTGACCAATGCCATAGTTATCAGCTGCTTGATCCAGATTAATAATCAGTAGCTGTCTCTCACTCTCTCCTTCTGATATGGAGCCTCATATAGTATGAGGGTCTGAACTTGGGTAAGCCTGACAAGGCTTTGCTCTAGCCAATGCAGCTTTGTGCCATCTCTGCTTCGTAGGACCCTGGGGACACTGAAGTGGTTCTGAGAGAAATGGGAAATCAAATCCTTCTGAGGTCAAACTAAGCTACTCCCATCATGGACATAATAGATAATGTGAACTTGTGGAAATGTGAGACTCCTTGCAAACATTTATCCTACTTAGGAGCCAACAAAGTAAAGAGAAACCTTGTTCTGAGCTCAAAGGATCTGCTTCCCATAGGTCCATTTAGAAAATCAGATCCTAGGGCCCACGGGAAACTTAGCTTTCCTTAGAATATATAACAAGACACTTTGGTATAGAAAATATGGACTTAGAAATGGAAGCTGCAGTTAGTAGTGGGCACTATCTAGGTGTTTATTCCTCTCCCTTAAGCCCTCTGCTTTTAACTACTAAAATGCAAATTATCTACACGTAACAAAATTAGGAATGCTCCTACAGTAACAGTGTTTTGGGGATTGATAAATCTTTGAATCTTCTCTCCAGCATCACCCTCCATGCAAGCAGATAATTCTACGGATTCCTTTTGGGGAAATACTATTCATATTTTCAAGACAAAGCAGGAGAAAAAAACAGAATAATTTTAAAGACTCTGTCTCTTCCCCAAGAGTGCTTCATGAAAAGTCCCACATGAAAACATAAGAATAAGAGGACTAAGCCTGAAAAGGTCTTTGAGATCCTTTCCCCTGCCTTTCTTTCCTAACCCTTTGTCCTTCAAAATCTTGGCTGGAATTTCACATTGCCATGGTCTTCTGCACTTAGCTAAAGTCTGGCTCAGAAGTTGAATACAAGAGGTAGGTCTTTGAAAGTGAATTTGCTCCTCTAAAATAAGGTTATTCAGTGGGGTGAGGTAGAAAACAAGAGGATGATGACTCATTCCACGGTGAGCAATTTGCAAAGAAGGTTCCAAGCCTAGCAGTCTATTCTCCTGCACTCACAGCTACAGGACTCCCTAGTACAACTGACTCAGAAGAAGGAATGAGGACAGAAAGAAAATTCCAGCAGCCTGCTCTCAATTATCCATAATAATAGGGAATGAAGAGAGTAGGGACAATTGAAATCCACAAAGAAATGCAGTTTCTCATTTTAGTTGTTTCAACCTACTCTCTTGCCCAACCATTTAAAAAAGAAGAAAGAAAAGAGCTATTTGGAAGTAGCAAAACTGACTCAAGTTTTACCTTCTCTCCCTGGCTGCTCATAATCTCTGTCAGAGATGCTGATAAGCAATGAAATGTCCTAAAAGATGGCTAGCAAAGAGATGAGGAAGAGGAGAAAGAGAAGTCAAGGTTTATGTATGGAATCATGGAGCACTAAATAATGGAAAACAGGTGGATCCTCACATAACACGTAATAAGGTCCCTAATGTCAAACTCTGTCAACTGGGCTTCATAAGCAAAAAGAGATTATACTGCATATCATAAAGGAGAAAAAGAAGCAATAGAGAGGCTGTTAAAAAAAAGTGAACAGACTCCAGAAAAATAAATCTATAATGTTTTATTATTTACAAAGCACTTTTCTCACACTAACCTTGTGATTTAAGTAGTACAAATAGTATTACTCCTGTTTTAAAGAAAAGGCACCTAGAGCCTTTAAAAGACCCTCTCAAAGGCACACTACTTGCTCAAGATCTAACTAGAGTTAAGTTCTCAATCATCCCTGGATAGATTATCCATTTTCCAATATTGTGATTTATTAAATAACAGGATTTTGTCTGTGGCAAAAAAATACATTCCTAGGTCACCCCCCACTACTGTCAAGACATATACTCAGGGAATATAAACTAAATTTTAATATCAGATTGCATAAATCAGACCTAGGAAAACCTTAGGCAAATCTAGTTGCAGAGAGAGGAAGGAGAGACATGTATAGTTGAACCAAATCTACTTATTTGAGGAACATCTATGGTTTGGATTATCTATGCCTACAAGTCTTTCTTTGCTACAAATAATAGTGGATTGTAAATCCTAGATCAGAGTGGCTATTAATGCTGACCACGGTGCTGAAATGAGTGCTGGGCTCTGTCTTCTAGAAGAAACAGACATGTATAGACAAGGAAAAAAAGAAAAAAAGCATTGTAAAAAGTTGGAGGTGGAAAGGACCTTAGAGAGCATCTGGTCCAATCCTCCCATTTTATAGATGAGGAAACTGAAACTCAGAAATGCTAAGTGACTTGCCCAAGATCACACAGAGTGAGCAGTGAAGTCACAACTCGAAGTCGTATCTTCTCTCTCCAGGTTCAATGCCCTTTCCACTATATACTAGTGCCTTTCAGGAGCACAGTCAAGGCACATGGCAATAAGGGTTACTTTTTCTCACTGGCCTATTTAGTTCTTTGGGTTGTTAATAAAAACTGCAATTCATATAATAGTAATCACACTATGGAGTTGAGATGATCTATGTTGTTCTATCATAAATAGGATCTTATCACATGTGAACACGTCTAAGCAGAGGACCATACACATAGCAGAGTCAAACCAAGCTCCCACCAGTCAGAGTGGTGCACACATGTAAATCCTGCTATCAGAAAGGCTAGTGCATCAGATAAGCTTCAGAATTCTAAGTTTTTAGTGATGTTCATATTAAGTCTAGCACCAATTTGGTACACCCCTTGAAGGTTGCCCAGCCCAGGTGGGAAGTGGATTAGGTCAAAGCTTCTGTGCCAGTCAGCAGTGGGATTAGGCTGGCAAATGACAGCTGCACGTCCAGCCTGGGTGAGACAAAGGAGACCCAGGCTCAAAACAACAACAAATTTGCCAGATAAAATAAATCTGGTAGGCTGCCATATCACCTATAATGGATATAATGGACAGCTTCTGATGGGACATTTAGTGGGATATACTAATCCTGTTCCTTCTATTACAGATTGTAATTTTCTGAATTTAAACAGATCAAGGATTAGAGTTTTCTTATTTCTTTCTCTAACAAAGAGATAAAATAGAGCCTAGTTTTAGAAAGAAAAAGGAATGGGGTAAATGCTTGCATACAAATATACAATTAACTCTCTTTAATCAATCCTCACCAGAACCCTTCTGATTTATTCATGGTCCCTACTGCAAGGGAACTCACCACCAAAACTCATTAAAAGGAAGTGATGCATTTGATTCCTGAAGCACTGACCTGAGTGAGTCTTATTATATAATCCTGATTTATCTATTCATTCAGGTACATCAGAATCAAATAAAGATTGTTAGATGCCAGGTAAAGTCAGCTTTTTCTTCACATTTCTTTATGACAAGGAAATCCATGCTGTTGTTGTTGTCTCATCAGGACATCTAAACTGTCTTATTGTCAGGGAAAATTAGATATTCACGTACTGGCAAAATTGGTTACATGACATAATCATATTTGAAGGGAGAAATATGGAAAGATGTTACTAAATTTGGTTAGTTTTAAAATGTGATGTGCATGTTTAGAATCAGAGATTTACAGAATTTTAGATCTGGAAGAAAACAGATAACAGCAAGTTTAACTCTTTCCTTGCCAACAAATAAGGAGAATAGAAAGAACTTGCTCAAGGCACATCAGAAGATAATGGGTTCATAGATTTAGGGCTAGAAAAGCCCTTAAAGACTATCCTGTTCACCCCCTCATTTTATAAGTAAGGAAATTGAGGCCTAGAAGGGGGAAGTGATTTGTCCAAGGTCATATCAGAGAATTGTAGGATCATAGATAAAGAGCTGTAAGAGGTCTTAGACGCCATCTAGTTCTACTCCAAGTGAGGAAACTAAGGCCTAGAGAATGCAAGGGATGTGACCAAGGTTATATCATGGGATCACTATATTTTGAGCCTTAAAGGGCTTTAAAGACCATCTAGGTTACTCCCCTCATGTTACAATAAGGAAACTGAGACTCAATGAGGTTAAATGACTTGTCCAAGGTCACACAGGTAGTGGTCATCAAAGGCAGAATTTGAAGCCATATCCTATGACTCCAGAGCCACTGGTCTTTCCAGTGAACCACACCACCTCCCTAAAGTCACTTAACCTTTCAATTTGCCCAGACAGCTCTTTAAGTTGCAGAGAAGGTATAATCTACACTGATAGAGTTTCCCCACCTTGAGTTTCCTATACTAATGAAATCACATTTATTTTATAAATAAATAAAATTTATTACTATTATTATTATATTTTTATGCCACAATGATTTCCTTTGGGTATCTTTTTTCATCTTGGCTAAACACAGGAGACCCTTAGAAGAAGCCCCAGATACCACTGGGGAAAAAGTGCCAGATAAGCAGAAATTTTTGAAACTTGAAATATTCCCTGTCATCTATGGAAGATCTTAGTACAGTCTGAGTGAGAAGAGTGAAATCCAGCATTGCATTGCTCCCAATATCCCAACCAACCACTAAGATGTGGTTCTTTGTACACAGATACATCATTATGAGCCCACCAACAATAGGACTTTTGCTTTGAGCCATTTTCCCAATAATAGGGATTGGATCATGATGGGGAATCCACTTGCTCTTGTTAGGTTCCTTTTGTTACTGAGGCATGTCTCTAGGAGGTGACTGGTTAGGGTGAGGGTTTCAGTCTATGGTGTTACCAGAAGAGAATTGCTATCTAAGGTCATGAATCAGACTAACTAGGAATTAAATCTAATGACTTGATTTCATTAATATTATCCTCTAAGCAAGTAATCTAGCCAGTCATAGACTGAAACAAACCAACCACCTTGATGGAGATGAGTGAAATTCCACTATTGCCTTCCATGAACAAAATAGAGGCTATGCCTCTTTTAAAAAAAAAATCTGTGAACATCTGACATGCATCTCAGTGTATAAGCATGTATAATTCATTCAGTTGTGTCTAAGAGTTTGACCAAATGCTGTTCATTACTGGGTAAGTAACCATTACCTTCTGAGAATTTGGAATGCTTCTTTGATGTTGCTAGAATTGTCCAATGGTAATTGGTGTTCATTCCCTATGCTTCCCAGGCAGAACCCCAAGCTTCCCTTCTGCTTCCTACCCCAATTTATTCCAGGGTGACATTTTACTTTCCTCCAATATAAATTAGAGTGTAATTTTTAATCTTTGTGCTTAGATTGCCTTGGCAACCTTGAATTCTATATAGATGCCTGGGCCGCGCTGGAGAAAGAAAGCATAAAATGTATTAGTACAAATCAGAATTACAAACCTTTACATGAATCATCCTCAATTGGCTGTTTGAAAGCTGTTATGTCACTGAAAGTGCAAAGAAATAAAACCACTTTATCCTGTTCGTTTCGAATTGGAGCAATTTTCACAAAGAACCACACAGGTGTCCCTGAAAAGAATATCAAAAGGGTGGTCAGTGATTTGCATTTTCATTCAAGCTCTATGGAAGCAAAGGGTTTGGGGAATGAATAGGTGCAGATATTAATTTGTGAGGGAAAAAAGGCATCTGGTTCCTTCAGGTGCTAGGTAATTGCATCATTAATTGCCTTTTTTCAGAGATTTAAAATATTCATCTTAACATCTCAGATGGGGATTTACTTGAAGCAAGTTCAAATAATTTTAGAAAAACTGGTCTCACCCTTATATAATATCCGAGATTAACAGGCAGCAAATCAGTGTATCCCAGATAGAGAAACTGAGGCAAGAGAACCCAAGTCTTCCCCCATCCCACCATGTGAGCAGATGCAATTGCAAAGAAAAGAAGGAGCTTTGTCTACCCTGGCTAATGGAGCACATACCCTCAGTTTCAATCCAGGTTCCTCTTTTAAGGGCTCTGAAGGAAGATTATATTTTCAAAACCCACAAATTTGATACATACACTGAACATATGTAAGTCACTCTCCACAAAGTGACATAGTAGGACCTACATGTCAGAGGACTGGAAGAAGAGAAGAGGAAAAGAGATACAAAGAGAGACAGAAAGGTATTAGGACATGGTAAGAAGAGGTATGGGAAAGGATAGCCATGATGATTGTCTCTAAGAAAGGAAAGATTCCAAGGGTTTGGGGGCCCTATGATTATAGACATAAAACTACCTGGGAAGAATCCAGAAAGAATATATTTGGAAAACTTCCACTCCCATTTACCTTGCTCCTGAGATTAAATGGTAAAGATATAGAGTTCAAGCACCAACTACCATGAGTAATCAAAACAGGGCCCAAATAAAACCTCCCTTTACTGACTCCTCAGAGTGGAACCAAGCCCTGAACAATCAATGTCCCAAAACCTGAGTCAGTTCAGTTTCTACTTTTAAAAACAATTTTTAAACATTCAAAAACATTTTGAAAGTTTTATTATTTTAGCATTTATGTTATTATACATGATATATTACTCATATTATTATAGAAGATATATTACTCATATTATTATGAGTATATTATATACTCATAATTATTATCATATTATATATGAGTTCACCATTTTAAATACGCTGTGTTATATGTTGTACACAAAATCAAGATGTCCATTTTGAAGAAAAAAATTGAGGTACAGAATAGTGGTAGGGCTTGCCCAAGTGGGTTGGTCATCGTGGCAGGACTCCTGACAAGGGGACCAGCCCTCTGACTCTCCCTAACATTCACCATTCATAGTAGATGCCACTCAGAAAACCAGAAAGCTGCCACCAGTTTCAAAAAGTTAGTGCACAAGAACTCACGTACTTGTAACTTAATTTTGTTTCATGTTTTCCTAAGTTGGAAAAAAATGATCAGATACAGATTCACAGTGGGCACAAAGAAGGGTTCTAATTTTTTTTATCTCTACCTTGAACATGAAATAATGGAAATATGCTGTCCCTAGTACAGAAGGAAGGCAATTCAGACCCATAGGTAAATAAGACCTCTGCTTTAAGGAAAACTCCTTAAAATTTAAAAAATTTCCCCCAGTAACAGGAATAAGGTAAATTAACGCATACTCATCCCATATCTGCCTTTTAACAAAGTGGGCATTTGTGAGAAGTTTGGCTGGAACTAGCTGTGTGGTATGAGCAAAACTAGAGTATATGGGAATCAAACTGGTGACCTTGGCCTCAATAACACTTTCTAAGTATCTATTTTAAAAACAGCCAGGTCTGGTATTAGGCATAAAATTGAGCCTGGGAAAAGGTGGGGGAGAGACCCAAACTTATCCCCAAATAGAATATAGCTGCCTTCCCCAGGATGACACATACATGGTATACAGATTATGCTAAGAATAATTAGCAGCTTCATGAATTAGGGTTCCATTTACATTGCTATCATCAAGACTAATTATCTGTTGGCTGAAATAAGACCTTATGTCTTTATTGCAGGTGTTTGTATAGGGTATAGAGCTCACACAGCTGTTCTCCCAAATCTCCCCCCTACATAATTCCTTCCACAATTTTCCCCCGATGTAATTATGCACATACTTTTGCCCCAGTCACAGCAAACACTCTATCTCTGTAACATATCATATCACATGTGATATAAATAGCTTATTCATCACTCATGTATCTGATGTTTCTATCTTGCTATCTTTATAATAACATAATAATAATTGACATATATATATATATATATCACTTGAAGACTGATACAATGTCCTCAAAGTGAAGAGACAGGGTGGTGTAGTTGAGAGTATACTGGAATTGCAGTCAGGAAGATGCATACTTGCTAGGCAGGTGAGTAAGTCACTCAGCCTCTCTGAGACTCAGTTTGTTCATCTGTAAAATGAGAGGACCTGACTCAAAGACTCAAAATTTATGATCCTATGACCCCATAAAGTAAGTATTGCAAACGTTATCCTCATTTTACAGATTTGATTTGATTCCATTCAATAATAATTGATTAAGCACCTATTAGATGCAAGGCATTGGGCTACAAGGCCCCAAAAAAGTATTGAGACCACTCTTTCATCAAGAAGCTTTCATTCTGTTTGAGTATGAGGAAACTGAGGTACAAGCAACTTAAATGGTTTGCCTGTGGTCACTGGCCCCAGGTCTCCTACTCCAAGTCCAGTACACCAAGCTGTGCCTATATATGTCTGAGTCACATTTCCCTGTTGATAGATTTAAAGTTTTCATAAGGTACTGGTCAGATATAAGTAGCTGTCTTTATACAGTGCTCTGGAAAGAGCCACCTGCAATTACGTACCTAATAAAGGCATCTTCCTGGTGATAATAATGGTAAAGTTATGTCTTCTACCACAGTGCCATATGCCTTAGCATTTAAACAAATATTAAAGTACATCAAATTGAGGCCATACACTTGAGTAATGGGAACCCTGCCTAGATGCAATTTCTTTCTTAAAGACAAAAGGAAAATGAACATTAGAATGCTAAAAAGCTATTCAGAGATCATCAAGAGCTGACTGAAACCAACTGGAGTGGAGATATAAAGAATAAAAGTGGCTCCACTCTTTGTCACACACCCCGCTGTGCCTGTGTATCGCAGGAGGTTTTACAGAGTAGAGAGATCTTGTACGCCATATGTGCTTTAGTACCTAAAGACAGCAGGGTGGTGAAGGGACTGGGTCCTAGACTGATAAAGTAGGTGCTTCAGCAGACAAAAACCTACAAACATCCAGATGCAAAGGAAGACTTGGATCTCTGGACCCTGAAGGTTCATCAAGTAAGGTGTAATGGGGTCTGGCACATGCACAGAGTACATCAGCTGCCTTGGCTGATGTGATTTCTTTCTCTGTGTGAAGAAACTGAGGAACTGCCTTCTGGGAAAATCATGAGGACCTGTAACGGAAGTGCCTTGGAGAGTCTTTAGAACATAAGCAGACATTCTATAACTGGCTCTAATTGTTAACCACGTAGCTTTTTTTCATTGGCTGAAAAGCCAGAACTGGGAGTGTCTTCAAAAAGGTCTGAGTAAACATCAGTCTACACATTCCCTCATTCTCTTTTCCTCAGTAATATAGAAGGTTCTCAGCATCTCTTTTGTTCATGATGTCTAGCAAGAGACAATGCTGTAAAAGAATCTCACTTTTTATTATTTATATCCAATGTACTTAGCACAACACTTGGCACATAGTAAGTTCTTGATAAATACTTTTTTCTTTTTTTTTTTGGTTCTACCTATTTCACTTTGTATCAGTTCAAACAAATCATACCATGTTTCTCTGAATTTCTTTTGTCATTTCTTACTGCACAATAATATTCCATTACATTTGTATACCACAAAAGTTGTTTTTTTTAAACCATCCCCACTTTGTTTCCAGTTCCCCACTACTACAAATGGTTGTTGTTGTGCAGTTGTTTCAGTTGTATCCAGCTCTTTGTCATCCCATTTGGGGTTTTCTTGGCAAAGATACTGGAATGGTTTTCCATTTCCTTCTCCAACTCATTTTGCAGATGAGGAAACTGAGGCAAACAGGGTTAAATGGTTTACCTATGGTCACATAGCTAATAAGTGTCTGAGGCCAGATTTGAACTCAAGAAGATGAGTCTTCCTGACTCCAGACCTGGCACTCTATCCACTGTGCCCAATGACAAATAATAATAAATAATATAAATAATAAAAAATGAGACATTCTCTTACAGCATTGTCTCTTACTGGACATCATAAACAAAGGAGTCACTGAGAACCTCCAAAATCACTGGGGCAAAGAGAATGAGGTAAAAAGTAGTACTGTCATGAATATTTTGGCATGTATTAGACCTTTGTGCCCATCTCTGACTTCTTTAGCATATATATCCAGTTGTGGAATTGTTGAGTCAAAGAAGATGGACATTTTTCTTGCATAATTCCTAACTTATCCAGAAAGGCTCCACCAACAGTAAATTAGTGTGCTTTTCTTCCTATAGCCCGTCTGATATTGAAGGTCCCCATTTTGTTTTAATTTGTATTTCTCTTGGTTTTAGTGATTTGGAGTGTATATTTCCACTCAGCTATTTATAGTTTGCAATTTTTCTTCTGAAATTTTTTCCAATCTTTTGACCACTTATCTATTGAGGAGAGAATATTTATTCATAACACAATAAGTACCTAATGTATGTGAAGCACTCTGCTAAGCTAGGGTAAATAAAAAAATGAGTCAATACAGTCCTTACCCTCAGAGAGGTAGTTGTAAGGTTTTTCTGGTGAAATTTCTCAAATAAGCCTCCTTTTCTCCTCTGATATGCCACCATCCTTCTGCAGGCCCTTATCTCTTCAAGTCTCGACTATTACTATCACTTGCTGCTTAGTCCCCCTGCCACAAGTCTTCCTCCCCTTCATTTAGTTATCCTCCATTTAGCCACCAAAGTGATTTTCCTAAAGCAAAGATCTGATCACGTCACTCCCCACTCAATAAAATCCAGTGGCTTCCTATCACCACCAAGATCAAATACAAAATGCTCTGTTTGGCATTCAAAGCCCTTCA